AAAATTACTCTAGACAAACATTTGTGTGTTGAAATTTCTTCTTCTGCATTCTACTGTACGGATGTAAATTTACTTTCCCTTCAGCCTGAGGCTTATTCATTTCACATATGGTGTGAAAAGGCTTTTATATTAGCCAAAAATAGAACTTTTTTTATTTTAAAAACAAACAAGCAAGCCCTGTCCAGATTTAAAAAGTAACGCAAAAGTAACGTAGCGCATTACTTCCCATAAAAAGTAACTAAGTAACGTGATTATTTACTTTTTTATGGAGTAACGCAATATTGTAATTTTAAAAAGCATTTAAAAGTAACTTTCCCCAACACTGGTTGTGTGTCTACGCAGGTGCTTCCACCATTACGAGATGTCAAAAACAGACCTGAGGTGGGGAACGCTCTACGGAACAAGCTAGTGCGTCTAATGACACACATAGACACGGACGTGAAGCACTGTGCGGCTGAGTTCCTGTTTGTGCTGTGCAAGGAGAGTGGTATGTTACATTATTATTAAAAATTTTTTTTTTTTGAGGAGCACCAGTTTTCAGTATTTCTTTGATAGATTTCTTGACTAAAGTCTGAAAAATCCCATTTTAAGCAAATTTAATACAATTTTAAATTAAGAATAAATGATGAATTCTATTAGTGACTGCAAAAATATTTCCCCCTATATTAACATCTTAATATGTAACCAAAAAAGTGATCAAGCTTCATAAACTTTCAAAAGTTTAGGATTGGTTAGATTTTTTTAATTCTTAAAAAAATAAGTCTCTTATGCTCACCAAAGCTGTATTTATTTGATCAAAAATGCAGTAATACAGTAATATTATGAAATATTTTTACAATTTAAAAAAACTCTTCTATTTTAATATATTTTAAAATGTAATTTATTCCTGTGATGCAAAGCTGAATTTTCAGGAGCAATCTTTAGTGTCGCATGATCCTTCAAAAAAATAATTCTAATATGCTGATTTGGTGATCAAGAAGCATTTCTTATTATTTATTGATTTTGAAAACAGTTGAAAACTATATTTTTGGGGAAACTGTGATACATTTTGTTTCAGGATTATTTGATGAATTGAAAGTTTAAAAGAACAGCATTTATTTGAAACCAATTTTTTTGTAACATTATGTCTTATTGTCATTTTTGGTTAATTTAATGCATCCTCCCTGAATAAAATTATTAATTTCTTAAAAAATCTCACTTTGAAACATGAGTGTGTATATATATTTAGATAAAAGTTGTAGTTTATGATAAGTAATCTATTCTTTTCTGTCAATCAGTTTCCAGGTTTATCAAGTACACAGGTTATGGTAACGCGGCAGGGCTGCTGGCTGCTCGCGGACTGATGAGAGGCGGCCGAGACCCTGGAAATTATTCAGAAGATGAGGACAGCGATACCGAGGAGTACAGAGAGGCAAAACCTCAGTACGTCATTGTCAGAAACCATAAAAGCCATCACTAAGTTAGAAAAAAATCTGAAATATTTGTGTTGAACAGCATCAATCCAGTGACCGGCCGTGTGGAGGAGGAGCAGCCCAACCCTATGGAGGGAATGACTGAAGAACAGAAAGAATATGAAGCCATGAAACTGGTCAAAATGTTCGACAAACTCTCCAGGTAATAAAGTGACTTTAGGAAGCAGCGATGCTGTCATTGCGCTTTCAAAATAGTATATTGTCAACTGTAAGTAACAGCAAACATGCTTTTCTTTCAGGGGGCAGGTGATCCAGCCAATGAAAATCGGTGCTGATGGTAAAATGACTTCATTGGAGCCACAAGAGCTTCATTATTTAGCCAGTCAACAGTTCGGAGAGTCCAATAATTCTGACAGCGACAGTGACGCAAACTAATTCTCCTGAAATGAGTCTTGAGTCTTTTAACAGGACGGATAGGATTGCTTATTTAATTTTAATCAAACACAAAAGCTTATTGTGAATCATATAAAAGAATTGAATCGTTTGACATTAAGATTTAAATGCTTTTGTTTTTACTCCAAAGGAAAACACCTGGTGATTGTTACTTCGTCTCGTTTGAGGTTTATTGTGTTGGCCTGTCTTTAGGTAATATTTTCTGTACAGTGACAATGAAAACGTGGTTTGGTTGCACAGTGCTAGTTTATTAATATAACAGGATTCATTTCATGGAACTCCCAAGTTATTATACATCACGGATTTTATTTTTCATTTAGTATGTGGTCTGAGAAGAAAACAAATGTGACACTGGGTGAAGACAGCAACAGAGCCCTGATATTTATTTATTTATTCATTCACTTGGTTTTAGGATGAGCTAAGTGTGGAATTTTTTTTAAGTTACAATATATATATATATATATGAGATGTGATATTTTATGAGGAAGTACAGTTCAGCGTTTTTTGGTTTTACTCATGAGCATATAAAGCCTCCTGTGATCAACTTATCTTTTGTTCTGTGTGGTAAAAGGATGAATTGCTGTATATTGTTATTGGTGGCCCGTGTAGTTACATGTGAAAGACTGAAGGAAATGTTGTATAATTTGTATCACATTGTGTTTAAAAAAATGTATTGTGAGATTATAATAAAAGAGCAGATTTTTTTTCATTGTCTCTTATTTGAGATGTTTTATACACCTACCTTTTGGTAATACAATGTTGATATTTTTAAATCATTAATGTTGTAGTTAGTAATGTAATCCATTACATTATGCATTTTAGGTAATGTAATCGGACTACTTTTTGATTACTTTTGACCTAACTTGTTTATCACATTGATTTAAATAGGGATCTTGTATCATATTGATATAAAATAAAAAGAGTAAGAAAATATGTTCCATTTGTTGTAATTAATGACATAAAGTAACATTACATTACCTCAAGGTTTCCCAAACTGGGGTTTGTAAAGGAACTGCATGGGGTCTGTGAGTTTAATGAAAATCTAATAATTAATTAAATCATAAAAAGTACAAATAAGTCATTTTCAAATAGCATCATTTAAAATAAAACACTTACTAAAAAATGAAATATTTTATTTGTTTGCCTGCATGTCATGTGACCATCAACCAACGTCAGAGAACCGTGACTATGCAAATGTGATACTTATTAAAATATTTATTTTAACATCTCAGAGGTACTTCAAGTAAATATATTAGGTGAAAGATGTTCAGATGACAAAAAAGTTTGGGAATGCCTGCATTATTTAAATAAGAAAAAAAAAAACGTGAATTTGTGCATTTTAATGTGTTTGCAAGACATAAGCTCTCCAAAGCTATAGTAATACATGGTTAAGTAACCTACTAAGTGATAATTCAAATAAAAATGTATGTGTTCATCAGTAGATGTTGAAATGATGCAATGTTGAAACACTTCTTAAACCTGAAAAGATTTTTGTAAATCCAATGGTCAAATGCTGTGTAGCCACCTAGTAACCGGTCTTCATGTGAATTTCCACAATACTGGAAGACTTTGGATGTATATAAGTGGTAGGCTATTTTAGAAAATACATTTTAAAAGATGAAAAAGAGGAATTAGGGAGAATCAATAAATTATAAAAAATTTATTGCTATTGTGTGTATCATATGTTATCATGTAATCAACAAAAAAGTAACTATTACGAATATTTTAAAATACAATTTTTGGAATCTGATTATGTAATCCAGATTACATGTAATCACTACCCAGCTCTGTATGTATGTATGTATGTATGAGTGTGTGTGTTCCTCGGGAGACATCGCGTTAGGGGCCCCCCTGTATAGGCCTATATACAGTGGGTACGGAAAGTATTCAGACCCCCTTAAATTTTTCACTCTTTGTTATATTGCAGCCATTTGCTAAAATCATTTAAGTTAATTTTTTTTCCTCATTAATGTACACACAGCACCCCATATTGACAGAAAAACACAGAATTGTTGACATCTTTGCAGATTTATTAAAAAAGAAAAACTGAAAAATGCTCAGTATTTAGTAGAAGCACCCTCTTGATCTAATACAGCCATGAGTCTTTTTGGGAAAAATGCAACAAGTTTTTCACACCTGGATTTGGCGATCCTCTGCCATTCCTCCTTGCAGATCCTCTCCAGTTCTGTCAGGTTGGACGGTAAACGTTGGTGGACAGCCATTTTTAGGTCTCTCCAGAGATGCTCAATTGGGTTTAAGTCAGGGATCTGGCTGGGCCATTCAAGAACAGTCACAGAGTCGTTGTGAAGCCACTCCTTCGTTATTTTAGCTGTGTGCTTAGGGTCATTGTCTTGTTGGAAGGTAAACCTTAGTTCCAGTCTGAGGTCCTGAGCACTCTGGAGAAGGTTTTCGCCCAGGATATCCCTGTACTTGGCCGCATTCATCTTTCCCTCGATTGCAACCAGTCGTCCTGTCCCTGCAGCTGAAAAACACCCCCACAGCATGATGCTGCCACCACCATGCTTCACTGTTGGGACTGTATTGGACAGGTGCCTGGTTTTCTCCACACATACCACTTAGAATTAAGGCCAAAAAGTTCTATCTTGGTCTCATCAGACCAGAGAATCTTATTTCTCACCATCTTGGAGTCCTTCAGGTGTTTTTTTAGCAAACTCCATGCGGGCTTTCATGTGTCTTGAACTGAGGAGAGGCTTCCGTCGGGCCACTCTGCCATAAAGCCCCGACTGGTGGAGGGCTGCAGTGATGGTTGACTTTCTACAACTTTCTCCCATCTCCCGACTGCATCTCTGGAGCTCAGCCACAGTGATCTTTGGGTTCTTCTTTACCTCTCTCACCAAGGCTCTTCTCCCCCGATAGCTCAGTTTGGCCAGACGGCCAGCTCTAGGAAGGGTTCTGGTCATCCCAAACGTCTTCCATTTAAGGATTATGGAGGCCACTGTGCTCTTAGGAACCTTAAGTGCAACAGAAATTTTTTTGTAACCTTGGCCAGATCTGTGCCTTGCCACAATTCTGTCTCTGAGCTCTTCAGGCAATTCCTTTGACCTCATGATTCTCATTTGCTCTGACATGCACTGTGAGCTGTAAGGTCTTATATAGACAGGTGTGTGGCTTTCCTAATCAAGTCCAATCAGTATAATCAAACACAGCTGGACTCAAATGAAGGTGTAGAACCATCTCAAGGATGATCAGAACAAATGGACAGCACCTGAGTTAAATATATGAGTGTCACAGCAAAGGGTCTGAATACTTAGGACCATGTGATATTTCAGTTTTTCTTTTTTAATAAATCTGCAAAAATGTCAACAAATCTGTGTTTTTCTGTCAATATGGGGTGCTATGTGTACATTAATGAGGAAAAAAAATTAACTTAAATGATTTTAGCAAATGGCTGCAATATAACAAAGAGTGAAAAATTTAAGGGGGTCTGAAAACTTTCCGTACCCACTGTATATATATCGGGCTTGTCTGGGTACTTCAGGAAATGCTGTTCTGCTGGGATTTTCACACACAGCCATCTCTAGGATTTACAGAGAATGGTCTGAAAAAGAAAATATTCAGTGAGTGGCAGTTCTGTGGGCGTAAATGCCTTGTTGATGCCAGAGGTCAGAGGACAATGGCCGGACTGATTCGAGCTGATAAAAAGGCAACAGTAACTCAATAACACTCATAACAACCAAGATATGCAGTAGAGCGTCTCTGAATGCACAACATGTAGAACCTTGAAGCCAATGGGCTTCAGCAGCAGAAGACGACACTGGGTGCAACTCCTGTCAGCTAAGAACAGGAAACTGAGGTTACAATTCACACAGGCTCACTAAAATTGGACAATAAAACATTGCCCGGTCTGAAGAGTTTGGATTTCTGCTGAGTCATTCAGATGGTATAGGGTCAGAATTGATTTAATGTAGCCTACCACTGCCACCAAAAAGAAAGAAAAATGAAAATTTATACATTTACTAATGTGCATTTCTCCTTGGAATGAATAGGAGTGCTGAAAAAGCTAGTAAACCTCTTTTATGTCACATCACAAACTAACGCTCCGGTTACTGACGTAACCACGGTTCCCTGAGATAAATTCCTTGACCTCTATATAAGTCGGCTCAATGCACCATTTCATCAGAATCACTTCGACTGAAGTGACAGCCATCGATTTGCATGCAGCTTATAGTACGGAAAGTAACGCAATGCTCGTTCCCTTATCTCAGGGAACCGAGGTTACGTCAGTAACCGGAGCGTTCCCAATCGAACGTTCACTTCACGTTGTGTTATGGGAACAATATCCAATCACGCCGTGCTATGAGCAGAAACATAACGATCTGCTCTACGAGCCCAGTTTAGAAGCACTAATTTAAGGCCCCTGAAACATGAGGGCTAAACTCAGTCCCGAGCATTAGCCAGGGATACTGACACAGCTGTTTCTGCCTCCGGGAGAAACCAGCAGTTTAATGTCCAAATTATAAAATCTAACAAACAAAACTCACTAATGGAAATCCCGCTGGACCACACCCAGGAGGAGGCAATTCCTCTAGTTGAATGGGCTCTCACGCCTATAGGGCACTGCCAGCCCACTGAGGCATAAGCCAGGGCAATCGCATCTACAATCCAGCGAGATAGTCTCTGCTTTGTCACCGGCAGCCATTTAGAGCGGCCTCCAAAGGACTAGAGACAAGTCCCATGTCGGTACAGTCCTGGGACGGGGAGGATTTAACCTCCGAGCGCCCTTCAGGGATTTAACGACCAAGTCGTTCCTGCCAATAGTCCGACCAGCCACAAGAGAATGATTCGCTGTGATGGCTGCCACATATAAGTGTGGATGGGGTGTGACCCTTGTCCAACAGCTCTTGCAGAAAGGTGAGCACATGGGACATGTCACATGAGTTCGGGTCCTGATCTCGCGCTGAACACCAGTCACAAAAGACTGACCACTTGAGAGCGTAGAGACGTCTTGTAGATGGAGCTCTCGCTTCTAAGATGGTGTTTGACACTCTCACAGGGAGCTGGCTAGACTCCCGTCAAGGGACCAGACATGTAGGTTCCACAGCTCTGGCCGGGGATGCTAAATCCTGCCCTGTGCTTGCGAGAGAAGGTCTTTCCTCAGTGGTATCGGCCATTGGGCTGCTGATGACAGCTGGACCATTTCTGGAAATCAAGGTTGGTTCCTCCAGAGTGGGGCCACCAAGAGGAGAGCACATCTCGTTTCCCTGACTCGCCTGATGACCCGAGGGAGCAGAGCGATCGGAGGGAAAGCATACAGACGGGTGTTGGGCCAATCATGGGCAACCGACTGAGGATTTAGTCTCCACTGTCCTGGAGCTACATTGTCCCTGGACAGCATGTCTGCTCCCTGGTTCAGTCTGCCCGGACTGCTCGCCGTGAGAGAAGTTTGCTCTGTGCCCATAGTAGGAGACATCAAGTCATCCTGTACAGGGGACATGACCTGAGGCCGCCTTGGCGATTGATATCACAGTCTACCATTAAGCTACCACAGTCATGTTGTCCGACCAGACCAAGACGTGGTGCCCCTTTAAGGCTGGCAGGAAGGTCTTTAGGGCAAGACAAACAGCCATCATTTCGAGGCAGTTGATATGCAGGCATCACTCGTGGGTCGAACAGAAGCCGTACGCCGGGTTGCCCTCGTACAGAGCGTACCTGAGCTGGAGGCATCTGTC